AGGGTTTAGGGTTTAGGGTTCAGGGCCAGTGTCTGGTCCCGATTGATTGAGAAAGTGCACAAGACCTGTTTTGGCTGAACATCCCATAATTAATGACTTCATACATACCCCATGGAGCACCTACTGATAGACTAAAGAAACCAAGCCAAAAACTCTAAACCCTGAAACTCGTCCCTGAAGGCTCTGAACGCCCCAAGCCCTAGCCTCTTCGTGTGCGTCTCCAGCTCTGTCTGGAAGGCTTTGAGCTTTGTCTGTCAGCAGGGCGCAGGGTTTGGAGTCCAAGGGTTTTAGGGGTTTAGGGGTCCATGGTTTCGGGTTTACTTGTTTAGGGTTTAGGGGTCCATGGTTTAGGGTTTACTTGTTTAGGGTTGAGTTCAGGGCATTGGATGTTGAGTTCTTGAGGTTCAGGGTGTCGGGAGTAGTAGTGTGCTTAGGCGCAAACAATGAAACTCAGGAACCCCAAGACTTCACACATCCAACCTGACATGTCGGAATGCTTCTTCGCCTTGTCCATGTGTTCTTTGACGGCACTAGAGCACCCATGCACTCTGGTATTCTGCTCCGGGTCTTGCCCAAGGAAAAGCGTCCGAATTCCTGAGGATTCGACTTTGGGTGTCGCTTCCATGGAATGCTGACACGGAACCCCGGTCGACACCTACGAGTACTCGTGATTGTGACAAACGCTTAAGGCTTGGGGTTCAGGATGTAGGGTTCAAGTTGAGGGTAAGGGGCCTTAAGATTTGGAGAAAGGCATTTCTTCAGGATTAGAGTAGGGTTTGGGGTTCTATTACCTTCGAACCAGAATAAGGAACCCTAAGGAATAGTACTTGTACGTTTTCGACCCACCTATAACACCCTAAAGGAACCCCCAAACGGGGCTAGGGTCCTAAGATCTGGAATAAACACACTACTGTACACTGTCGTTGCTGAATGCTGGCCTGCTTTTGTGTAGGTTCATGTTACTGTAGGTTCCCAAGGTAAACCTTCTACCCTAAACCCTGAACCCTGAACCCTTGAACCCCTAAACCCTAAACCCTAAACCCAAAGCCCCAAACCCTAAACCCTAAACCCTGAGCCCTGAGCCCTTAACGCTCCTGTACTCTCCGAGGGCGCCTGCGCCTCGCGACTCAACTCGGGAGTGAAGCGCTTGGCTTCAACCAGCTTCCTGACAGGTGCTATCTTCAGCAAATGTGTGTGTGTGTATGTGCATGTGTATGTATGTATGTATATATATATATATGTATATAATATATATATATATATATATATATATGTATGTATGTATACGTGTGTGTATGTGTACATAAGGATTTTCACGACTCTGTATAGGATTAGGGTTCTATAGGATTCTAGAGGGGTTCTAGAAGGGTTCTAGAAGTGTTCTATGAGGGTTCTGAAGACGGGTTCCAAAAGGGCTCTATGAGGGTTCTAGAAGCGTTCTATAAATATAAGAGTTCTTTCAGGGTTCTAGAAGGATTCTAGACGGGTTCTACTTTCCAAAACTACTTGTGGGCATTTAGGGTTGTGTTAGAGTCTGCATAGGGGTTCTGCGAGGTATACGGTTTTGGGGATTTCTGGTCGGAGGTTCCGTTGAGGTTTAGGGATCTCGGTTTATCTCGAATTCAGGGTTTAGGGTCCGTTTAGGGTCTGGCACATGGCAAAGCCACTATCTTGGACCGGAATGCTGTTAGCAGCTTGCTGTTTCTGCTAGCGCCAGTGGCGAACATAAATGGGGGGTGAAGATGAAAGCTAGGGAGATGACGATAATGATGGAAACGGCGACGACAAGGATGATGACGAGGAGATGACTGTGATGTTGGCGCCGTCGATGACGATGATGATGGCAGCGAGGATGGTGCTGGTACTGTTCATGGTGTCAACTACGATTGACTTCATGAACATGATGGTGGTCCTAAACCCTAAACCCTAAAGTGGTGCCGATGACGGACAACAATATGGCTCTGTCTTTGGGGCCTGTGGCCTCCATCAACAGCTTCGGGCTTACTTCGGATTTAGGGCCGGGGCTCCGGTTTGCTTGAAGCCCGAACTCCCAATCCCAACCACATAATGTAGGGGCCTTGATAATTAGAATAGGGTTTTGGGGTATATTATGCTATAATTATAATAAGGAACCCCCAAAATAGTGTAGGTAATTGTTTCGGTCCCTGCATTACACCACTTCCTGGACATCGGAGAAACGGTCCGGATCGCAAGAGAAACAATGCTTTTCACTGCATGCTTCGGGTTTAGGGCTTCGGAAATACAACCCCGAAGCTAAATGCATACCCAAACCCTAGATTCTCTCCAGCCCGAACCTTAAGACGTCAAGCCCGTTTTGCCAAAAGACCCCTGACAAAACCCATCACCACCCTATTTCAAAACAGATTAAAACGATAAACACCCCGGTAACTCCGTAACAATCCCAGAAGCCCGACGAAAATCCCAAACCCCAAACTCCTTACCCCTGACCTCCTTAATACCCAAAACCCTGAAAGAGCCAAAGCCCACCAAGCCCTAAAACACCAAACCCTAACCCTATTTTTAGAACAACGTTAAAACAAACCCAACGTGAAAAACTCCGAACACCCTACATAAACATGATTGTGAAAAACCCTGAAAGTGACAGTTTTGAAAAATCCTTTGGCGGAGCCCTCTTCGAATTACCCCCAAATAATATCAGCAATCATTGAGGCCCCTATAGTATTCAGGCCCCTGAAGTTTACGAAGCTGAGACCGCCCACGTCGCAATGAACATCCGGGCGATCGAGGTCTGAGCAGAGCACAGCGCGCAGATGTTTTGCGCTTTTCCGGTTCCCTTTTGAGGTTTCCTTCTAAGGTTTAGGG